TATATATATATATATATATATATATATATATATATATATATATATATGTACACCCGTACATGTATATCCATATATCCCTGCAGGTTGTAAAGCCTCTTAGAAAACCACCTATTAACATTATCTATGTTCCATTGTATTCTTATTTAATTTGTTAAATGCTCCCAATTACATTTTAAGCTGGTTTGGGCCAGCTCTATAGCTTTGGGCTGCATTCAGCCTGTGGGTCTGATTCTTCTGGTCTAGACACTTACTAGCTGTGTGATACTAGGTGAGTCATTTAACCTGTTTATGTGTTTCAGTTTCCTCATCTGTACAATAGAGCTAATAATAACATTCACCTTGTATGGCAGTTGTAAATTAACCTACATAAGCACTTTGTAAACGTTAAAGTGAGAGGTAAACACTAGGTATTATTATGCTGAAGGACACTTGATTCAATACTCCTTTGAAGGGGGAAGGGGATGGAGAAAGCCTCCTCTAGGGATGCTCAGTTCTGGCCTAGAACTGGCAATGAAGAAGGGATGATGTTGCTTCCTTTCAGTCCTCAGAATGAAGAGCTGAGAAGGCTTAGGACTCTAGAATGTGAGAGGCATGAAGACTGGGCATGGAAGAAACGGGGAGAGCTGAAGGATTGTCTTCTGAGAGCTCCTCTCTCTCCCTCTTCATCCTCACACAGCAGCACTTCTTGACTTTCCTGTTCTCTACTTATTTCATGGGAGGCTCTATTGGACTAGGCCATACCCACTGGCCATTTTGTCTTCCTTTCAGGAAGGCTTATGTGTCTTGTATCTTTAAGGTTACACTTCAGGATTATATCATTAAAGTACAGAAGTCATTCTGAAGTCATCAGGAGGCAGTGTGCCAGAGTGGACAGAGGACTGAACTTAGAGCCTGAATTTCTGGCTTTAAATTCTGACTCAAACATTTAGTAGCTGTGTGACCCTGGGCAGGTCCCTTTGAGCCTCAGTTTCCAGAGGGTAATACACCCTTGGGGAAATCCTACTGCACCACCTCTCTCCTTTTATAGGGATGTTTTAAGGAAGGTACTTTGCAAACCTTAGAGCACCATACAAATATTAGTTACTATCACCTTAATGGGTTTGCAAGTTTCCTTATTGATCTAGAAATTTCCCAAAAGCTTTTGAGCTGGGGGGTTCTTAAATTGTGCTCTCTGTGTCTCTCCTCCTCCTCTTCTTTCTTCTTCTTCTTCTTCTTCTTCTTCTTCTTCTTCTTCTTCTTCTTCTTCCTCTTCTTCTTTTCTCTCTCAACTGGCTGTTTATTTGGTTACCCTGCCAAGTGTCTGGTTGTCCAGTGCCCCACAAAAAAGGTCCCAAAGGTACAGAATGCATTGACCCATAAGAGTTTCAATACACTTTCATCAAAAACCTTTCTCTAAATTCAGTCCAACTCACAAGCATCTATTAAATGCCTCTGACAGTCTGATAAGGCTTAAGGTTTTTGTTACACCTCTGGATAAGATTTGTGCACCCAAGGCAAGGTTTGAATATAGGACTGTATCACTATCCACTAGAAGGTTTCTAGCCCTAATGGTAACATATAGGACCTGTGATCGCAAAATGAATTCCCACATTCCACAAAAAGCAGGACTTTCTGAGATCATAAAAATATTCATGTATAAAACTACCCCCATACTTTGAGAATATACAATGATCCTTCACTGACCATATTGCAACTCCCTACAACTTTAATGAACCGGCTTCCAGAGTTTCCCTGGCTGGACAGTTCATCACCCTGCAAACTGGGCTGATGACCCTGAAGTGCATTTAAAAGGGTCCCTCCTTGTACACCCACAAAGGCTGAGTGAGCCCCAGGTGGCTGTCCTCACCAGGCTTACTCCTATTCCCAGTTCTACCATGTGGATATTTTCACTTTGACAAGGGCTTTCTGGAAATGAAGTCTGTGAGGATTGTTTGCACAGGTGTCTACCTGCTGTCAGGTTTTCTGTGCCCTGAATGCTGGCGCAGATGTGACTGGCCTATCGTCAACTTGCTTGACTTTGAAGAAAAACAAGTGTTCAAGCGAAGGCTGGATGATCGGTTGTTGGGTGGGGGTGCTGTGGGGAGTTTTCCTCCTTTGGAGGGGGGTAGGCCTGGATGATTTTAGGGCTCCTTTCCTACTCTCTGCTGTGGTTCTGGCCTGATCCTTGCTACGATCTCATAGCAAGCCCTATGAAGCCATTCGATGACCTGATTATAGCCAGGGGCATTAGCCTCATATTTGAAACAGCTGTGATCTCTAAAAGTCTGGCACATTTTATTAGATTTTACCCATCTACATTCGTGCTTGTGGCTAGTTGAACACGAGTACCTCCCCTCTGGTCTGATTCAAGGGGCATTCAAAGTACCACTTTCCTAAAAATCTCTCCTACCAGCCTAAAATTGCCATAATCACAATTACCTGAGTTAAGGCAGGATAGTACTTTCCTTTCAGCATGCCATAAGCTCCTTGAAAGCAGGGACTATTTCATTTTTATCTGTATCCCTAAGTGCTTAGCAAGCTCCTTCCACATAGTAGGCATTTACTAAATGCTTGTTAAATGAATGAATGAATGAATGACTTGGCTTCAAATCACTTTTCTCTCTCTGAACCTCAGTTTCCTCATCTGTGAAATGAGAATGTTAGACTAGATGATAATAATAATAATAGTTATTGTTATTATTATTGTAACAACAATAAAAACAATAATAGCATTTTATTATCTTCATCTCTGCCTATTGTCTTCCCTGGCTTCCTTCAAGTCCCAACTAAAATCCCTCTTCTACAGGAAACCTTTCCCTACCTCTCTCAATTTTAGTATTTTCTCCTCTTAATCATCTTGTACATAGTTTGTTTGTGCATATTTATTTACTTGTCTCTCCTATTAGATTGTAAGCTCCTTGAGGGTAGGGACTGTCTTTTGTCTCTTTTTGTATCCCCAGCACTTAGCATAGTGCCTGGCACATAGCAGGCACTTAATAAAAGTTCATTGACTTACATAGCACATTAAGATTTGCAAAATGCTTTGCAAATATGACTTCATTTGATTCTCACAGCAACCCTGGGAGGGAGGCACCAATCAGCACCATTATACAGATGAGGAAACTGAAGAGGTTGGAGGTCAAGTGACTTGCCCAGAGTTACCAGCTAGTAAGTGTCTGAGGCTGGTTTTGAACTCAGGGATTCCTGACTCCAAGGCCAGTGCTCTATCTGTTGTGCTACCTAGCTGCCATGGGACCTCTAAGGTCCCTTCTAACTCTAAATCTACTGTGTAACCCTGGCCTACTTTATTTCCAGGAAGCCACTGTCAAAATGAAAATATCCACAAGGCAGAACTGGGAATAGAAGTAAGCCTGATGATTCTAAAGCATAGAGCTGATGTGGGAAGGTGTTCCTGGAATGGGATACAGCCTGTGCAAAAGCACAGAGGTGAGAGATGGGATTTCATCTAGGACAGGAAAAACCTGAAGGTTAGTTTGGCTAGAGTGTATGAAGGGGACAACT